GGAGTTTAGATTTTGCTTGCAAAGGCCCTGTGAGGTGGAGGTCAAAACTATTTTCTAATTCTGTTAGATTTTTTTAATGTTTGTTTATTTTTGGAGGAGAGAGACAGAGCCAGAGTGTGAGTGGGGGAGGGGCAGAGAGAGAGGGAGAGACAGAATCCAAAGCAGGTTCCAGGCTCTGAGCTGTCAGCACAGAGCCCGATGCAGGGCTCAAACTCATGAGCTGTGAGATCATGAGTTCAGCCTGAGCTGAAGTTGGACACTTAACCAACTGAGCCTCCCAGGCGCCCCTGTTTTTAGATTTTTAAAAAAATCGATTTATTTATTTATGGAATCTATTTATTTGTGGAATCCTGTTTTTCATATGCAACAGAGAGGGCAGCAGATCCTTAGTCTGGAAGCAGGGTCTGGTGGAAGAGGTTTCTGTACTTGAATTGGAAGTATGTCTCACAGGAAAAGTGTCTAGCGTGGGCTGGTAGGGCTCCAGTTCTTTGTGGTGCAAGCTGCTTCAGAGCAGCATGAGTTAATGTTGCCCTTCCACTGCCCAGAGTCATCCACCTTGAATATCCTGATGAGCCAACTGTTGGTTCTACCGTTTTCTTAAGTTTGTGTCGACTTTTGGCTTAAATGGAATATTGGGTGAATGACGGTTCAGTTCTTTGGCTAAGTCTTTATTGCCCAGGTCATTTATTTAACAAGTAAGTAAAACAGACCAGAATCCCCATCTGGGGGGTGGCTTGTATTCTGGTGGGGGAAGGCAGACACTAACAACAGATTATGTGAAAGGTGGTAAGTGGTAGGGAGAATAGACCGATAGAGGCAGAGAAGAGGGGGAGACAGGCAGAGAGGGGGAAGAGAGGTGAGAGAGACAGGGTAGGGGGACAGAGAGAGTGACACCATGAGTTTAGTTGTCTTGAATTTGATGAAGAGGGACTCAGTTAAGGCCGTGTTGTGACTTTTACATTTGATATATTAAATAATGCCTCCTTTATGTAGCTTTATGTGAAGGGGTTAGGGGGCCCCAGATTGCTTGCCTAGATGAGTTGAGTCTTAACTACTTCTTAGTCTCAAACTCCTTTTCTGCTGAGATTGGCACCGGTGACACCCAACCTGGTTTCTTTCAAAATGGGGACCACTTAGAAGCGCTTTTCTCTGAGTGGAAAGGACACTGCAGTGTTAGTCCAGAGGCCTAGGCCCTGCCACTGACACACGCCCTCGAGGCTCTTCTGGACATCTTCTCTGTCCTCAGAGAGGATTGGGCTGAATGTATGACAAAAGTTGTTTTCAGGATCAAAAGTGAGAGATGCCCACCTCTGGTTAGATTCGTGTAGAGTGTGTGTGTGTGTGTGTGTGTGTGTGTGTGTGTGTGTGTGTGTGTAGATATAGATGTAAATAGATACAGGGATTAAGCTTCATTTTTTACTTTAAAGCCAGGGTAGCCCAAATTCAATGTTGTTGGTTTTTTTTTGTTTTTTTGTTTTTTTTTAATAAAAAGGAGTGAAACTCAATCTTTAGGTGTCTGGGACAAAATATAACCAAAAGGGTATTTTCATGTACTTTTTAAAGAAAAGCTTTATAACTAGGTCACCACCGGCCATGCATTATCCCTGTATTAGTTAACTTTCTAGCTAGTATTTACAGGGTCAGGACTAATTTGTAGCATACTTTTTTGTGATGTCAGCATTCAAGAAGTATCCTTTCATAATTGAAAAAATGGTAATAATTTGTTAATGTATATACTAGAACATTCTTCTGAGCCTGTTGTATATATTCATTCATTCATTTTGCCCATCTATGCTGCAAAAAAAAAAAAAAAAAAATAGAGATCATAGCAGCCAAAGTCCTGAGAAGTTAAGTAACCCGCCCCACGTCAGTGAGTTGCAGAATCAGGATTTGAATGGAGTTGGCTCCAATAACTGTGCTCTCCAACATCGTGCTGTTCCAGCTTCTCTGCATTTCAGGGATCAATTGGAACCATTCAACAGAGAGGTTCACTGATGAGATTTTAAAGCGAACCTCATGGAACTGACCCATGTTACTTGGACCATTGGATTTCTCAGATTTGTGCTTGATCCAGCTTTTAATAGTAGTAGTTTCTGTGTAACTCTAAAAATGACTTTAGACATATTACAGTTGACTCTTGAACAACTTGGGGGTTATGGGTATCAACCCCTCATGCATTTAAAAAGCCACCTATGGGTTTTGACTATGCAAAAGCTTAACTACTGCTACCCTACTGTTAATTTGGAAGCCTTATTGATAACATAAAGTTGATTAACATATTTTGTATGTTGTATATTATATATACTGTATTCTTACAATAAAGTAAGCTAGAGAAAATATTAAGGGAGTCATAAGAGAAAATACATTTACAGTACTCACTCAACTGAAAAATCCATGTGTGAGTGGACCCGCACTCTTCAAACCTGTGTTGTTTAAGGACGAACTGTATTTGATTCCTTACAAAAAATGTCCTAAATGGGCATATCTATAGAGCTAGAAAGCAGGTTTGTGGTAGCTTAGGGGCAGGGGGAATGGGGAGTGATACATGACTAATGGATACAGAGTTTCTCTGTGATGAGAATGTTCTAGAGTTGGTGGTGGTGATGGCTGCGCAATTCCAGATATACTAAAAACCAAGCAGCCACTTGGTTGTACGCTTGAAAGGGGTGAGTCATGTAGTGAGTTGTTGTATCTCAATAAGATAGTTAGAAATGAGGAGGAAATTTTCCTCTGTTGTATTTAATCCATTTTATTTTTATTTATTTTTTAAATGTTTATTTTTGAAAGAGAGAGTACGCACACACGCGCGTGAGTTAGGGAGGGGCAGAGAATGGAGGGGAGGGAAGGACAGAGGATCTGAATCGGTGAGCCAGATGTAGGGCTTGAATTCATGAACCTCTAGATCATGACCCGAGCCAAAGTCAGATGGATGCTCAACCGATTGAACCACCCAGGCACCCCTGTATTTACTTCATTAAAAAAAATTTTTTTTAATGTTTATTTATTTTTGAGAGAGAGAGTGAGACAGAGTGTGAGTGGGGGAGGGGCAGAGAGAGAGGGAGACACAGAATCGGAAGCAGGCTCCAGGCTCTGAGCTCTCAGCACAGAGCCCGACGTGGGGCTCGAACTCCTGGACCGCGAGATCATGACCTGAGCTGAAGTCGGACGCCCAACCGACTGAGCCACCCAGACACCCCTACTTCATTTTAAATTGAAGTTTTTTTTTTTTTAATGAGGACTGAATAAAATAGGAATACTCCTCTTTTCTTTTATGACTTACAAACATGAACAGGAAAGTGAAGACTGAATTGACTGTGTAACCCAGCATTTTAAATTTCTTATATTGACAGTAATAATTTAACTTTATTTGAAAACATTGACCTATATTAGTAAAGTATTTTAAATATTACAGTATCTGATTATTAAAAAGTAATTTTATATCTAACTGGAGAAAATCCCCCAAGTACATAATCTTGTTTAGTGCGTAGAATAATTTCAGGGCAGAAAAATGTCTGGCTTGCTCTCGCTAGTCTATCTCATCCATTCTGCTTCTCTGAGATAATGAGTTATTTTGCTTGGATTTGAACTTGAGGTTAGGTCTTTCAAAGCTATTTTTTTCTTAACTGTTTTATCTGCATTTCACTCATTTCAGAATTACACATTGATCTTTCTAAAAAGCTATTTCTAATTTTAGATTGTGCCACCTCTTAATACTTTCAGATTTAAGTTTATAAAGAAGCATTTTATTTTGCCGTAATTACTTTCAAGCCTCAGGGTAGTTCTGGAGTTCCACTTTTGTAGGATTTGGTAAACCAGTAAACAAGCTCACCCCATTATGATGTTTCACAATATTGTGTATTTTGTATATAATCACTCATTGACCAAATAGGAGTGCCAAGTGTGTGCCAGGATGCAGCCATGACCCAGATGGACCCCATCCTTGCCTTTGGTGGCCTGAACTCCAGTGGGGGAAGCCTGGCAGTCGTAATCTTGGATGATTGTCCTCACGTAGCCATTCCTGCATCTTTATCCTGGTGGTTACCCTTACCTGCATCTTTGTCACCTCTCTTGGTCCTTGCTTCTTGACCGTAACCAGCACTGTGCAGCTACCAAATCACTAGGTTTTGTGCCAAGGTGTGTTAATACTCGCCGTGCCAGGTTTTGTTAGTGAGTGGTTGCTTTTTTAATGAGCCTCACAAAAAGATCCCATAAATATCTGCAGCCCCCTATTTGATGTGGTTCACCTCCCAGTGACTTCATGTGTATCTCTCTGTGTCATTCACTTTGAGAAGGAAAATAACTAAAGCATTGCTTAGTTTCCTACTGTGGCTGTAGTCTTCACAAATCTAAATCCTCGCATTAAAACGATATTGTGTGTTCTGAATACGATGCTTTCATTTAAGTCTGAATTGTGATGAATATGCATTATTTAAATGAAGTATAAACTTTCCCTAGAAAACACTGATCAAATCAAATGTCGCTAATTTGATTTCCATCAAATCCATGCCACTTTAAATTGCCTCAATTTGGAGAAGACAGAATTTTTAAAGGCGAAATAAGTGTGAGGGTTCAGTTGTCTACCTTTTTTACTACTCTGCTTGGCTGCTTCTAAATTGTCTGTAAAAATTAAGAAGTGTAGAGATTTGAGGCCTGTTGCACGATTACTAAACATGGTGTTTTTTTGAGATGACAATTTGAATGCTATGGATAACAATTCTGGGAGTATGTGTAATGTCTCCCACTGTGCTCCCCCAAGTACACTTAGCTGCCCTTTTCTTCCCCAGATCCCTGTACCTTTGTTGGAGCTCTTCCACGTGACCTGTGCTGTGCTTAGTCCCTCGTGTGTCTCGTTCCCGTTGGGGAGACTGCTATGGAAATGGGGCCTGGAGAGCAGAGTCCTTTGGTTTTCAGTTGCAATACTCCAATCTCAGGTGCCTTATTGTTGGACATTGCATACAAATTCAGTTGATATTGAATGTTGTCTTTTTTGTTGTTGTTAGAGTTTCCAGAATGGCTTCTGCACCAACTTCTAAATATAATTCACACTCCTTGGAGAATGAGTCTATTAAGAGGGTAAGTTGTGTTTTCAGCTTTATTTGTGCCTCTTTTTCTGCATTTGTCTTCTTATATTTGCATACTAGGTAGTCATTTCAGGCTTATTGAATTATTAATTTCATTATTCATTCACATAGTGTGAATTCTTCAATATATGTGGTTTTATCTGCTATCCTACCTTGTTCCAGAAAAGACAGAATGCCGTTTATGTGTTAAGTTTTGCATTTGTAAATCCTTTCGTGGAACTTGAGCAGGCTGTTACACCTTCCTAAATATTGGCCTTATTTTCTAATTATGATAAAATGGTTGTATGACCGAAACAAATACAGCATTAAGAAAAAAATGTTCAAAGTATCAAGGAGAAAATTATGTCATTAGAGAGAGATTTTGAAACCTATATTGAAAGGAAGGGTTGAATTTAAAATAAGCTTTACTCATGGCTCTTTGAAGCTTTTGATACATTTACCAATTCTCCAGCTGAAAGGTTGATTTACACCCCCGCCGGCAGTGTACTGAGTGCTGAAGCGATCAGAAGGAAGCCAACTAGTGTCTTTGAATTTGTAGCTCCCTGAATACTAATGAGGGTGACCTTTTTTTTTAAAAAAAAAAATAGTGTTTATTGTCCATTTGCTTTTCTTTTTTGAAGTGGCTGCTCGTGTCCTTTGCCTGTTTGTTTTTTGGGGTGTTTGAGGGATACTTTTCTATTGATTCATAAGTGTTCTTTACATATTGTGATAATCAGTTCTTTATAATATACATTACAAGTCTTTTTCCTAGCTTATTATTGGCTTTGATTATATTTGTGGCATTTTGATTTTGAAATACAGAGGTTTACATTTTTTTGTGTGTAATCACATCCCTCAGTCTTTTGTATTTCATATTTTCTGCTTTGGGTGTCATGTTTACAAGGACCTTTTTCATCCTCAAGATTATATAAGTTTTTATTGTGTTTTGGTATCGTTATGGTACAAGAAGCCGTTCTAAGCACAAGAGTTACTTCATGAAGCTAATTGTAAGTCCATGTGGAATGTGACTCTAATAGTGTATCCCATGTTAATCCCATGTTATCCTGTGTTAATCAAACATGTGTTTCCCTAATTTTGTGGTTGACTTCTACTTTCTTCACCTAGCCCAGAACTCTGGTCTTTAAAGGGTATAATGAATATCAATGCTTGTTACGCCTGTGTTTAGTTAGTGAGAGGCAGCATTAAAGGGTGTTGATGATCTCTTTCTGGTCTTATCATTAGTGTAAGTTGTGCGGGTTTGCTCCCCATTGGGGAAGGCATTCCTGGCTGGGAGCAATCTGTCTTGCCCTCCTAGTTAAAATGCTTAGCTTACAAGCACTAACACGTGGAAAATTGGCTAGGAATTTTCACATTGTGCCTGAATAAAAATGATAAAACCATCAAAAATCCAGCAAAGCACCTAACTTTGACAGCTTGTATCTGACCTAAATACACAACTGACACTCCCCTTATTTCATAATACTTCACATCTGCACAGCCCTCGATAAGTCACCAAATGGTGCCTTGTGCATTTTGTGTCACCTCATCTCAAAAACCCTTTGAGAGAAGTATTACTAACTTTACACATGGAAAGTCATGCTGAAAAAGTCTTGTGCCTGAATAGATGTTAAGGATGTGGACATAGGCAGCGCATCCTTGGCATTGATTGGCATGGACATCTCAGTAAGGTTGGGGTCGACTGTGGGTGGCTAAACTGCTCAAGTTCAATTCATAGTTTAAGTCTCAACAACAGATGTTGGCGAGGATGCGGAGAAAGGGGAACCCAGTTACATACACACACGCAACTTGCCATCAATATTCATTAGCTGTTTAGTCTGTAAATAACATTAGCACACTTTTCAGTATTAATTTTTAAATACTGGGTCCAAGTGCTTTACAGTTAACAGCATTCAGGAAAGTGATAAAAAGTCAATATCAAGCATATTCTTTTTTTTAAATTTTTTAATGTTTATTTATTTTTGAGAGAGAGAGAGTGAGAGAGACAAAGCACAAATGGGGAGGGATGGAGAGAGAGGGAGACACAGAATCCGAAACAGGCTCCAGGCTCTGAGCTGTCCGTGCAGAGCCCAACGCGGGGCTCGAACCCATGGACGATGAGATCATGACCTGAGCCAAAGTCAGACACTCGACTGACTGAGCCACCCAGGTGCCCCAATATCAAGCATACTCTATAGACACACTTTGGCAGCTTTTTAAAAAATTTTAAATATTTAATCATCTAAATAATGGTAAATATCACTGTAATTTTTTTCTTTTTAAAAAGTATGTTTTTGGTTGGTTGTGTTCCAGGTTGCTTAAAAACCTGTGCAAATGTAATGTCATTTCTTCTGATGCCCCTGTTTCATTTCCAGACTTCTAGGGATGGAGTTAATCGAGACCTCAGTGAGACTGTTCCTCGACTTCCAGGAGAAACTCGCATCACTGGTAAGGGTCCTATGAATTCAGGATTCACATAGTATGATGAGCGTCCCAGCAGGGTCAGGTGGCTTCAGTCCCTCCTTCTCTTTTAGAAGTCACATTGAGATAAATAGGCTAGCTTTGTTTGAAAGTGTTAACATAAAGACAACCCTCTGCATTAGTTTCTTGATCAAAGAGTTCCTTCAAGAGTTTCGTGTGGTCCAGGATAGTGATATTTTCCCCTCTGTACCCAAGACTGAGAATTATTTTAGAAAAGTGGATTATCTCTTGAACGTCCTTGTTGGAGCCCTAAGCTCTCATGGTTTGAGGTTGTAAGAACAAAGTAATACTAAATTTTTCCAGCCTATGATGTGTGCTTTTTAAAATGATCAACCTAAAGACTTAACATCTAAGTAGTCTTCCTTTGAAATATAGGAGACCATATTGGTTTAAAATATCTTTCATTTGTCTGAAAACATTTGTAGTAATGTAGTAGTACATTTGTAGTAATGTTGATACAATATTTTGATTGTTTACTTATTTTTTTCATGATAAATTCATATTAAGGGGAAGGGATTTACTTTGGAAGGACCAGATCATTCTGGCTTAAGAATACAGAAGCATGTGACAGCTTCTAAGCCAAATGCTGATGTTGTGGGCATTCACATTTTGTATTGGGGTCAATACCCTCCCTCACCTCAGATCACCACATATTTGGTGGTGATACAGTTACCATTGTTTCAGGGAACCCTTTGGTTTGTTAACTAAGATCTGGGTTGTTTAGGTTAAATGGCTAAAATATGGTATTGATTAGATTAATGTCATAAGACATGGTCCCTTTGTGAATTAGTTAGCCGTGCACCATGAGAAACTATTCCACGTCCACAGACTTGCACACATGATCCTAGTCTTGAAAAGAAAACCAGTGGCATGTGTCCATCCCAATTTCTGGATAAGAGCAGAGAGGATAGCTTACTTTGGGCAGTCTTCCTCTATGAGCTTTTTGTGCTCTGTATCAGTCAGACGCTTAACCGAGGTAGTAATTTATTGAATTAGCATGAAGTAGCCTTACTGGGTATTTTTCATTTAGTACCCGTGGAGAAAGGGATTTCAAAGTAGTTAATAAAAAAAAAAATTAAAACCCAGTACCACATTCAAGGACACCCTTGAAAGATAACAGAAGGATATTTTTATTATAATAAATTTACTCTCCTGATTTAGTCTCCCCTTATGTTTGAGTCCACTAAAGATGTACTATTCTTTTGGCCATCTGTTTTTTTAACACTTAAATAATTGAAGTGAATCAAGCTTAACACTCTTCTCTGGACTTTTAGAAAGAATAGACTATAGAAATATTTCAACCACTGACATTCATTTATTAAAAACGTCATGATGTCGGTGTGATTAGAGGCTGGCAAACGGCAAATCCTGTCTGGTGGTTAGGCCATGAGACTGTCCTCCTCCATGAGTTGCCATCTTCTGGTTGAAGTAGCTCCGTAGTTACCTTTATAGCCACCTGGGGGGAGCAGTGGCTGTACCCTCCTTCACTTCTGCTCTCCAGCTTTTACCACCTTGCCCAAGCTGGTGACAGCATTTTGGTCAAGCTCAGGGGAGCAAAGCTGGTGCCTGGACGTGACGTGTGGCCCCTCTTGACCTAGCACGGTAATGTGGAAACATTGCTGGTGCTTGCTTTCGACTTTTCTGGTGATCTTTTTTTTTTTTTTTATTGTAGTTATTCTTAGCCAAATAGTTTATATTAAATTAGTGCCATTTGTTGTGTATTTTGGTATATATTTCCATTATTTTAGGGTACTTTTTTTATCTTAATAGACAAAGAAGTTATTTACATATGTCCTTTCAATGGCCCCATTAAGGGAAGAGTTTACATCACAAATTATCGTCTTTATTTAAGAAGTTTGGAAACGGTAAGTAGAATCTAAGACCATAAAGATGACCCTAACTGTTAAAGATAATGCTAAACTGTCTCTCTTCTACCTTGCAAGACTGACTGTGGACCAGATTAACATGGGAATGCATTTGCTTCTCAGCTCTTAATTTTTGGCTTACGCAAAGCTCATTTAACACTAACACCTGTATATGTAGGAATAGAGTGAATTTAAAAAGAAGTTTTTATCCTGGGAAATACTGGGGAGGGGTTGGTAACTGGACCCATTTGCTAGCCTGGAGAAGTTGGTTAATATAGAACCGTGGTTCTTCACCAGAAGCACAGATGAGAACCACTTGTGCTGCTTAACAGACACCACAGATGTCCTGGATGTCCTGCATCAGAATGTCCATATCTGTAGTTCAGGTGTGGCTGTTATTTTTAAAACTTTACGGAGGAGGATGCTGATGTGAGTCTCTACTCTAGAACTTTCCTAGTGTTCAATTACAAAGTACCAGGTAGCAGTTTAGAACTAGGATGCCTATGGTATGGCTTAGTGCTGTTCTACCTTTTCATTCTAAGATGAAACGTTTGCCATAGCGTTTCAAGAAATGTTCCACTGATGGAACAATGAAATAGAGACGAGGTGCTCTAGAAGGGAAGGGAAGAGTATAGCTGTTGTGGCTGACACAGAAGGACTTACAGTAGATAGGTTGTTGTCTAGGCCAGCCTGAAGTGGCAGCTGTATTTTGGGGGTGGACCAAGGGGGGAATAGATAGATAGATAGATCGATCGATCGATCGATCGGTTGGTCCAGGGTACATGGAAGAATAGCCTAACAGTGGTTTATACACAGGAGATGGTGAGACTGTTTGGAGGAATCTAGCTTGTGTTTCATTGTTTTTACCCTATAATTTCTTCAGGACTGTTATTGATGCAATATCTTGATTGAATCAAGGCATATGACTGATGCTGACTAAGAAACATGGGCTGAATGGTGGTGGTACACTTAGGTGAGGTTATACACTGGTGTTAAAGGCTCATAGCCATCCAAGAAGGGTGGTCTCTAATGTCTTGCTGTGCAGGGCCCTTCCTCTGCAGCGTTTCTAATGCAGTACAGTTGAACACCCAGAAAGCACGTGTGTCCAACATGTGAAAAACAGCAAACCAGCCAATGTGCTAGACTACACAGGTGCGATTTGAAATGGTCTTAATCAACCAGGATTTGGGAGTGAAACTAATAATATAAAGTTTATCATAGGTAACATTTACTTCATACAAACCGGTTGTACCAATAAAGGGTGGAGGAGGTCTGTCTTAATAGTGGCTCAAGCTTATTTGATCTAGTAATTGGGCATGATTGATTAAAAAGTTAATATACCTGTAGGCTGAACTAACAAAACTATAATATAATAGCAAAATGAGACTGTAGTCCCATCTGAAGTGTCGTGTTCAGATCCAGGTGCTATGTTTTGAGAGGGACATTGGCAAACCAGCAAGGGTTCAGACAAAGGGAACAAGGCTTGTGAAGAGGCTGTAGTATGAGCGATGATTAAAATAAGCGTCGATGTTTCCTCTGAAGACCGAAGGGAGGCATGACAGAGCTACCTTGGAGTGTTTGGAGTGCCTTCTGTGGAGCAGGGATCAGACTCATTCTGTACAGCTCCCAAGGGGCAAATTGGGACAGATTGAGAGATTTTATGCTGATACATGCAAGAGTTGTCAAAAATGAGAATTAAAGCAAGTGTTACGGTGCCTTTCCCCTCTAAGAGTCTTGGCTTGTTGGGCTGCCACGCGTGCCCAGTTCCATTTCATGCTATCACTGATGATGAACGGGGGAAAATTTTTTTTTTAAATTTTGTCTTTAATTTTGAGAGAGAGCATGGGAGGGCCAAAACGGGAGAATTCCAAGCAGGCTTGGTACTGTCATGCAGAGCCCGATGAGGGGCTTGAACTCACAAACTGTGAGATCATGACCCAAGCAGAAACCAAGAGTCGGATGCTCAATCAACTAAGCCATCCAGGCGCTCCAAGTGTGGAGATTTTTTAAACTGGGGTGCCATGACAGGATTGTATGATCTCAGCTGCATAAACTATCCGTAGACAAGAGGCCAGAAGGAAATACAGCAAACGTCTTAGTACTTGGGGTATCTGGGGAGTGGAATTATACATACTTTGTTTTGTCCCTTCCACTTGGAGTGGGCATGTATCACTTTTATAATTGGGAGAGCACTTAGCAAGCTTTATTTTGTTCTTATACAGCATCTTAAGAGGTGGGGATTAGCACCGAATGGGTGTACAAAATGCCCATTTGACACCAGCTACTAACTTTTTCCTCCTTCCACTGTTTCACATAAACCTTTTGACCAATTGGCTATAACATTTAGTCCAAGTATAAAAGTGGGAAGCTAATGGCATAAAACACCATAAAGAAAGCCATGTAAGTGGTTCTGCAGAAGCCTCAAAGCATAGTCCTCATAGTATTTCTCAAAGTCTAAATAAGAGCATCAGTTGTGGATTCTGCTGCAGACTGTGTGTTTGGCAAAGAGCTGTCCTCTCACGGGCATTTGGAAGTGGACACCTGTGTGTTTCAGGTATGTAAATACTGCAGTGGGACTCGGCTGTCCCATTTGGTTGAGGTGTCAAGGGCAAGTTTCCTGTCTGCCCCACCCACCCCTGCACCGTCCCCTTCCCAAGGACGGTAGAAGCACAGTGGCTGTATCCTTAGATTGTCATCGTGGCCCTCCTTCATGACCTCCCCCTCCCCCACTGTCCCCTGCATGCTGCCTGCACAGTGATCCTCCATGGAACGAGGCCAGCCAGCTTACTTCTCCATTCTATAACTCTCGTTGGCTCCCCATTGCCCATAGAATAAAATCTGCTGTCCTTTATATGGCATAAAAATCCTTGCAACTTCTCTTGCTTTGATCCACGCCACTCCTGCCCATACTGTTCTTAAACCACCTTCCCTTCTCCCAACACGCAAGGCCCTTCCATGCATCTGTGTGGATGCATTGCATGTGCTGTTCTCACTGTCCCCAGATGCTCTTTTCAGAAGCTGCTGTTTGTCCTTCAGAACCCACCTCAAAAATCACACCATCTTCGGAGCCTCCTCCAGCTCACGGTGAGGGACCCCCTCCCTCTTTGTGTCTCGGTAGCCTTTCCCCATGCCTCTCTGTTAGCATTTATTGCTGTGAGCCCTTCACTGGCCAACACTTCCTTTTTCCTTTTCGTGTTTGTTTCTCCTGAGCACTTGCCGCCACCTCCTATTTTATATATGTCACTGCTTCGTCTTGTTCCTTGGCTGTGTGAGGACAGGGATGCTTGTCTATCGCCCCGTGTCCCCTCTGCGCTTAGGGCCTGGCACATTGAAGGTGCCCAGTCGGGCTGTGCTGAATGAAGGAACTCTGGTGTTCTTTACTTGCTGCTATGTCTGTGGCCTTTACTAATGGTGCGTCTGCTTGGTCCTGTGTGCCTAGCTAGCACGGTGCCCACTAGATAGTAGGCACTCAGTAAAAATGTATTCCGTGAGTGAACTCGGGAGGGAACAGGCTTCATTGCTGTGGTGTCTTTTTTTTAAGTTTGTTTATTTTAAGAGAGAGAGCATGAGCAGGGGAGGGGCAGAGACCTGGGTCGGGGGGAGAATCCCAAGCAGGCTCCACACTCTCAGCATGGACCCCGACAAGGGGTTGGAACTCACGAACCGTGAGAGGTTTTGACCTCTCAAAACCAAGAGTCAGGGGCGCCTGGGTGGCTCAGTCGGTTGAGCGTCCGACTTCGGCTCAGGTCATGATCTCACAGTTTGTGAGTTTGGGCCCCGTGTCAGGCTCTGTGCTGATAGCTCAGGGCCTGGAGCCTACTTTGGATTCTGTGTCTCCTTCTCTCTCTGCCCCTCCCCCACATGTGCTCTGTCTCTCTCTGCCTCTCAAAAATAAAGAAAACTAATAAAAAAAAATTTAAAAACCAAGAGTCAGACACTCAACCAACTGAGCCACTCAGGTGCCCCTGTCACTGTGGTTTGACCTCAATGTAGGCCCCCACTAAATCGTGGCATCTTGAATACCAACATTGCTTCGGAGTTTGGAAATTTCATAGTCCCCTTTTCACCTTGAGGGTGTTCAGGAATTTGGCTTGGGGTCGATCTTGTGACCACAGCAGGGACACTTTAGGCACATAATAGTCTATAATCAGTACACTACCATGGGGAAGACTGCTTCAGCTTCCCTTCCAGGAACACTGGGTTCAAGTGCTATAGTGGGTTAGAAAAGCAAAGTAACCCTTTGTTCACGTGCTCATACCTTTATTCCGGAACCTTCAGCAAGCAGCGTGGTGAGCTAACACTGAACTTGGTGAACAACTCAAAAACGAGTAATTGGGGTGTAATATGACAAAGCCCACACTGGTTGCATAATGCCACGAGGTTACGAGGGAGAGGGTGATTAACTATGTGATGACTCATAGCATGCTTTGTAGAGGAGGTGACATTTGAACCGAGTCTTGACGAATGCTAACAATTTCCTGGACAGGAGGGAAGAGAGGGAGGAGCACATCAGGTAGAGAGTTTCCCTATCACTTGTATGACAATATGGAGAAGACCACATACTGTAAAACAGCTGAGTTGTCTGTTGGAGATGGAGGGGAGCAGGGTGGCAGGAGATGATACTGGAAAAAGGGTGCACCCCAACAGTCTCACAAGTCAAGTGTCAGCGCCCACCTTCTGTGGACAACCACCTGGTGGATGTGGGTTTCTGGAAGGGATGTCAGGTTGCAGTGTGTCTGATGGATTACGGAAGGAGACTGGAGGGAGGGAGAGCAATGGAAAAGTCAGCTGTCCAGGTGAGCATCCCGGGCCTCACAAGGTCACCGTTGCGCCAAGAGGAGGCAACAGCGTGGAAGGTTCAGGAGAATAGGGTGGCCCTTTGGAGGCGGGAGTTGGAGGAAGGACCTCAGGTGGCAAATGATGCCTGTGATCCTTTGCCTTTGAAATGAACCTCACAGGAGAAGGAACATGCGTGAGAGAAGCCCCTGGGGCTCTCAGAA